TTTCTCATTAGTATTTAAAAAATTTAAAGTCAACAAGACACCAAATAGGATCCAGACAACCTGTTTATTTCCTTTTTTTTTCTTTTCTTTTTTTAGTTTTTTAAGACAGGGTTTCTCTGTAGCTTAGGGGCCTGTCCTGAAACTCACTCTCTAGACCAGGTTGGCCTTGAATTCATAGAGATCTGCCTGTCTCTGCCTCCCAGGTGCTGGGGTCAAAGGCGTGTGCCACCAAATCTGGGCTTTATTTCTTTTTTTTAATTTTATTTATTCATTAATTAAATTTATTTTTTACATACCAATCCCATTTCTCCCTCCCTCCTGTCCTCCCATTCCTCCTACCTTCCCCCGTCCACATTCCTCCACTCCTTGGAGAACCTGTGTATTTCATATCCTTACATGGTTTATTTTTTACATTATTTTCTCATTCTTTTTTTTTTACATATTTATTTATTTAAATGTTTATTATGTATACAATATTGGCCAGAAGAGGGCACCAGACCTCATTACAGATGGTTGTGAGCCACCAAGTGGTTGCTGGGAATTGAACTCAGGACGTTTGGAAGAGCAGGCAATGCTGGTAACCACTGAGCCATCTCTCCAGCCCCATATTTTCTCATTCTTTAAAAACTTTATAGCCAGGCGGTGGTGGTGCACGCCTTTAATCCCAGCACTAGGGAGGCAGGGGCAGGCAGATCTCTGTGTGTTCGAGGCCAGCCTGGTCTACAAGAGCTAGTTCCAGGACAGGAACAAAAAAACAAACAAACAAACAAACAAAAAAAACTACAGAGCAACCCTGTCTCGAAAAAAAAAAAAACTTTATTACTTTTTTTTTTTTTTAAGGAGAGGGGCTGTTTTGGATTACATTTTATTTATTTTTTAAGATTTATTTATTTATTATGTACACAGTGTTCAGCCTCCATGTATGCCTGCAGGCCAGAAGAGAGCACCAGATCTCGTTACAGATGGTTGTGAGCCACCATGTGATTGATGGGACTTAAACTCAGGACCCCCGGAAGAGCAGTCAGTGCTCTTAACCTCTGAGCCATCTCTCCAGCCCAAACTTTATTACTTTTAAACATACATTTTTTTATAATTGTCTATACTCATTTTTAAGCACCTAAACATATTTTTAAATAAACTACCTATTCAAAGTTTTGGCCTAGACCTGAACTTTTTTTCTTCCCCCTGCATCAGCAGCATTTTGTAAATGGAAATTTCTGTCCCACCCAGTTCTGCAACTGTTCAATCCCAAAGAAACACACAGAGTCTTATATTAAGTACAAACTGTTTGGCCTTTTAGCTCAGGCTTATTATTAGTTAGCTCTTACAACTTAAATTAACCCATAATTATTGCCTATGTTTAACTACATGGCTTGGTACCTTTTATCAGAGAGGCATTATCATCTTGCATCCTCTGCATCTGGCTGGTGATTGCATCTCTGCCTCTCCTCTTCCCAGAATTCTACTTTGGTCACCCCACCTGTACTTCCTTTCTGGCTTCTGGCCAATCAGTGTTTTATTAAACCAATATGAGTGACAAATCTCTACAGGTTACAAGAGCATTATCCCACAGCATTGTGAACCAAACCTTAAATGACTAGGTGGTGGCTAGGCTATCTGCTTGCTTTGTGGCTCCACTTAGCACTTGGTGCTGACAGCTGGCTCCACCCCCTGCGGGTCCCTCATGTGGGTGCTGGCCAGGAGCTGCATTTACTTACCCCAGTTCTGGGAAGCTGCTGGGTTTGTGCTGAGGCAGGCATTTTTACCTAGCTTCCCATCCTAACTAGTAGTATGCCGGTTAGTCAAGTGCTCAGCTGTGTGACAGAGTTTTTTTGTTTTTTTGTTTTTTCAGGAGAGAGCCTGAACGCAGTCCCCCACTACCACAACTTATGCAGTTTAGTTTCCCATATTTGGGGAAATCACAGGGGTCAGCACATCTGGGGTGCAATGGATAAGCCTTGCCCTGGGAAAACCACCTTCGTGATCATGGTATCTCCTCTTCTAGGTAAGTGTACAACAGACCCTCTTAAAGGAGCTGCACCTCTGGACAGTGTGAACACTGTGAACACTGAGCCTGTCAGGAAGTCACATTGAACTCCATGTTCAGAACATTTTTTCAGCTTTCTCAGACTCTGTTTTTTTGTTGTTGTTGTTATTGTTGTTTTGGTTTTTTGTTTTGTTTTGTTTTTTTCTTTTTGAGATAGGGTTTCTCTGTAGCTTTGGAGCCTGTCCTGGAACTAGCTCTAGTAGACCAGGCTGGCCTTGAACTCACAAAGATCCGCCTGCCTCTGCTTCCCTTAGTGCAGGAAATAAAGGCGTGCACCCCACAGTGGCCCATGAACTCATTTTATCCAGGACAAACGAACTGAGACAGGATAGTTTAGTAGCAATGGGGATAATGACGAGGGATGGGTGGAGTCCTGACTACCGAGATTGGAGGAGATTCGGAGTTTCTCAGGGTTTCACACATTTCACGTAACAAAGGTTCTTCCTGTGTTCAGTGGAGCGATTACAGTGTAAATCCTGGCAGTTCACAGCAGGGGAACCTAGGGTGGGCGATCCAAACAGCAACCCCAGTTTCCATCATCTGACCCCCACTCCCGCCATCCACCATAAAGATGAAGTGTGCAGTAGAGAAATGTACACCCTTAATCAACAGACATTTATTGAGCTCCTGGTGTGTGCTAAGCACCGAGGCAGAACACACAGAAATATCGGATTGGATGGCAGCCCACAGGGAAATTCTGGATGCCCTCAGAAAAGAAGTGGTAGACAGGGAGATACCTATCAATCACAGGCCTTCTCCCTTCTGTGGTTTCAGGAAATGGAAGGGTCCAGAAAGAGACACCTTAGATGACATCCAAGACTTAGACTTACATGTTCCATGTGTATAAGACACATGTGTAGAACTCACACAACTATAGATGTGTACAGGACAAAAACTGCGTATATGTTGCATATGCACAGGCTTTATGTGCAGAGTCAGAGTCTATGTGTGCACAGGACACATGGATACGGCACAAGAACTCCATCTGCCCCAGCCAGGGCAAAGGGATGGGGAGGGTCTCGGGACAGCAAGGCCTGTCAAGGCTGGGGCTGGTACTGGCCCTCTGTGGCTGTGAAGAAGTCCTCCAGAACACTTCGAAGGTAGTCAAACGTGGGCCGGTCCTCGGGACGCTCCTTCCAGCACAGCATCATGAGGTGGTACAGCTCCTCCGGACAGTTGTCAGGTCGGACCATTCGGTAGCCTCGCTCCAGATTCTGAATCACTTCAGGGTTGGTCATTCCTGGAAGGTTGATGGGAGAAAGAACATCAAGCCTTTAAATGTTAGAAACCTAAAAGCAAGGCTGATGCTAATTTGGAGATCTTTCTTTCTTTCCTACCTATAGTCTTATCTATCTATCCATCTATCTATCTATCTATCTATCTATCTATCTATCTATCTATCTATCTTTTTATCTATCTTCTTTTCAATCAATCTATCATCTATCTTCCTTTCAATCAATCAATCTATCATCTTCCTTTTTATCTATCTATCTATCTATCTATCTATCTATCTATCTATCTATCCATCCATCTATCTTTGAGGTACTTGGAATTGAATACAGGATTTTATGCATGTTAGTCAAGCAGTCCATCACTGAGATACAACCCAAGCCTATAGTTTGGATGTTGAATGTCTTCTCATGTGTTGAAAGTCTGGCCCCCAACTCATGCACTAGTGAGATATGGTAGAATCTTAAGTGGAGTCTAAACTGGGTGTGGTGACGCATATCTTTAAACTCAGCACTCAGAAGGCAAGGCAGTTGGATCTCTGTGAGTTCAAGGCCAGCCTGGTCTACAGAGCAAGTTCCAGGACAGACAGAGCTGTTACATAGAGGGGAATAAAAGGAAGAAGTGGGATCTAGTCATACAGGCTGACACGTGCCTTGAGATCCCAGCACTCAGGAGGTAGAAGCAGGAGGATCCCCATGAATTCAAAGCTATCCTGGTCTGCCTAACAAATTGCAGGTTAGCTATGGCTACATAGTAAGATCCTGCCTAAAAAGAGAAAGACAGAAACCATGAGAGATATGGGGTTGGAAGTTAGGTCACTGTGGACTTTCTCTTGAGGGACAACATGCTGAAACTAGAGTCCTCCTCTTCCTCTCTTTGCTTCCTGCTATGAGGTAAACAGTTGACTGTACCATGTGCCAGATATGCTCCCCCAAAAAGAAAAGAAAATCAGTGAAACAGAATCTCTGAAACTAAATGAGTTTTTTTTTCCATCCTCTCTCTCTTTTTCTTTAATTTTTAATTTTTTTTTTTATTTTCAGGACAGGGTTTCTCTGTATAATAGCCCCTAGCTGTCCTGGAACTAGTAGCTCTGTAGACCAGGATGGCCTTGATCTCACAGAGATCCACCAGCCTCTGCCTCCTGAGTGCTGGTATTAAAGGCGTGCACCACCATCACCTGGCTCTCTTCTTTCTTTGAGACAGTCACACTACGCAGCTCTGGTTGGCCTAAAACTCATTACGTAGACCAGCCTGGCCTCAATTAAAGATCTGCCTGCTTCTGCCTCTCAGATTCTGGAATTAAAGAATGTACCACCATGCTCGGCAAACTTGATTCTTTTTTATTTTGTTTTTGTTTATCAAGACAAAGTTTCTCTGTGTAGCCCTGGCTGTCCTGGAACTCAGTCTACAGACCAAACTGGCTTCAAATTCACAGAGATCTGCCTGCCTCTACCTCCTAGTACTTAGATAAAGGTTAGGTCACTGTGCCACTACCACCCAGGTTAAAAATATTTTATTATTACTAAATTTGTGTGTGATGTGTGTGATCCAACATATGGGCCAAAGCCTCTTCGTGAAGGTCAGAGAACAACTTTTCTTTTCCTTCAGTTTTTTGAGACAAGGTTTCTCTATATAGCTCTGGCTGTCCTGGAACTCTCTATTTAGATGGGGCTGGCCTCAAACTCAGAGATCTGCCTGCTTCTGCCTCCAACGTGCTGGGATTAAAGGTGTGTGCCACTACGCTTAGCTTAAACTTTTTATTTTTTATGTGTATAAATGTTTTATATGTCTATGTATCACATATGTGAAGTGCCCCAGGAAGTCACAAGAGGGTACTGAATTCCTTGGAATTGACGTTATAGACAGCTGTAAGCTGCCATGTGGTTGCTGAGAACCAAACCCAGGTCCTCTTAACCACTGAGCCATCTCTCCAGTCTCCCCTGCTCTCTCACCATGAAAGAACGGGTTTGTTTTTTTTTTTTAAGGCAGTGTTGTCACAGGGTATTTGTGCATACTGCATGATGCTGTGTCACAGAAAAGCCTGTCAGATATTCTAGGCCCATAGGCCGAAGATGGATGCCTCAACATTGCAGAGAAACCTTGGGTGACTGTCATTTTTTTTGTCTTTTTGAGACAGGCTTTCTCTGTGTAACAGCTCTGGCTGTCCTGAAACTCACCCTGTAGACCGAGATCTACAAGCATGCGCCACCACCACCCAGATAACAACTTTCAAGCGTGGGTTCTCTCCTTTCACCTTCCCATGGATTCCAGGGATTGAACTCAGGTCCTCAGGCTTGCTCAGCACATGTTTTTACCCTCTGGGCCACCTCGCTGCACCCCCAACTTTCTTCTTTATAAGTTGACCATCTCAGGAGTTTTTTGTTGTTTTGTTTTCAGTAAACAGAAAGCTGGCTAACACGGGTGATGTTCAGAATATGTAACTACCAATCCAAAATTATACTGGTCTTCATGATCGTAGACACTAGCATTCCCTGCTGAATGTTGGTCCTATGTTTACAGTACTGATCCAATTACTCGCTCAGTAAAGAAAGCGCCAACTGCAAGACCTTGACCGAGCCTCCTCTGTGAAGCTCAGCTTCCTCATCTAGAGTATAGACTAAATCCTCGCTCCTCTTCCCTGAGTTATGGTGAGGATTGCGTGAATCAGTGTGTATAAACAAGCATAGTTGTTTGGAGATTTTTTTTTTTGTAATGTCTACCTGGGATTGTTCTCTAGGGGCAGCAATGGGGCCGTCGGGGCTCAGGACAGGATGAGAACCCACAGTCAGGCAGTGCTGAGGCATCTCTAGCCTTGAGACTAGGCACAGGAGATACTGTATCAGGACAGGAGATGAACACTGGCCTATGAGATAGGACAAGCCCAGAGCTGGGAAATCTTTTGGCCCCTAAGAGTCTAACCTGCTTCAAAGGGCTTTATATTCCTGGGGTCAAATTTCAGCTCACCATGCTGGGGCTATGGGAAGTTTCTGCCAAAGTGGCCTCTGCTTCCTAACTCCTGACTCTTTTCTGTGTCATTTCCTTTCCCCCAGAGTTTATCAACTTCCTTTTGGAAACGTTCCACTTCTAGGCATCCAAGTATAGCTCCGCGACAGTGAACTTGCCTTGAATGCACAAGACCTGGGTTTGATTCCCCAGTCCCTCCAAAACCAGACACATAGGTGCGTGCCTGCAATCCCAGCCCCTCCCAGGGAGGGGAAAGCAGGAAAATCCAGAGCTCAGGGGGCATCTTCAGATTCATAGATAGTTAGATGGCCAGCCTGGGCTACAAGAGACATTGTCTCAGAAAACAAAACAAAACAAAAACCCAATGACTAAAACAGAAACTTTCAGAATAAAATTCTACCCATCTTGGTTGAATGTGGGGGAAAGGCCTTTTCTAGGACAAGGGTGTGTCTACACGGCTTCTCTCTTTAGCTGTGAAGAAGCTTCATTAGGAAAGGACCAGTGCCCAGTGAGCAGCTTCGATGGGTCGGACTGCTCCTCAAAGTCTCTCATTTCACATATCGGGGAAACTGAGGCTCAGAGGGATGACATCACTTAGCCAGAGTGTTATGGAATATTCCTTTAACTATGTGAGGGGTTGTAACATTTGTTTGTGCTGTATTTGATTAATTATGTAAAGTGGTGGCACACGCCGTTAATCCCAGCACCAGGGAGGCAGAGGCAGGTGGATCTCTGTGAGTTCGAGGCCAGCCTGGACTACAAGAATTAGTTT